TACTGACCATTAAAGTTAATATATATATATATATATATATAGTGATTTTACGAATATATATTTTGGGCGTCAACACAGCCATTCACATCCTGTCGGATGTTTGTTGAAATCTTAATTAAGAACGAAAATTTTACTATATTCAGTTTTAACGTAGAAGTACAAAGTTAATTTCTATTGAATTTTATTCAGGCGTTTCTGTATTGCCATGTAATTCTGTACTTGAGCAACCTTATTTCTAGGTTAGGGGTCGGGGTTTGAAACCACACAGATTCGACGTCCGCTCAACCATGGAAGTATTAATAAAATAGATATCGTCTTCTACTTACCTGTAACGTCGCTAGAGAATAACTATAGTGTGTTATATTCCCGTGGTGTCTCTGAGCCATATTTCATATATTCCAATTTTTAATAATCCAACAAAAACATTCAGAATTACAAGAGGTCCAACCTAGCAGCGACGACAATGAAGTTGTGGTTCTTCACGGTAGGCTGTTACTAATCGCTCTTCTGTCTAGCTGATAGTAATCATAAAACTTTTAGTATCTTATTTAATCCTATATAACATAAAATATTATAAATATAATATTAGATTTAGTCATACATTTGTAGTTCCACTATATTACCTTAAAACTTATTTATTTATACATAAGGAACATTTGAGATGTTAGCAAGGTCGAATGCAGGAATTTAGATTTGACTGCTATTGGTGGGGGCACACACGTTAAATACTTTTATAGATATTTCAACCTCATATAGGAAATTATTTTTGCAGACACATGACTTTTAGCCGCGGCAAAGCGGCTCATAGAATGGCTCTGAGTTTATTTAAAAGTACAAATTTTAGTTCATAGCTCCGTCATTTCTTGACCGATTTGAGATCTAACTACAGTTATGGACTCTGGTGTACTTGAATACGCCAAAGCTATCATAGGTTAACTTACTCTAATCCAGCCTAAAATAATTTCAATATGATGTTAGGCTGGTAGGGATCGTGATGAGTAATAAAATCGAATCGGGTATACGCCTGCCCCATGCTTGGTATTGCTGGCGCACAAACAATAATAAAAAGGGGAAACAAAGGTCTCATAGATTAATTTACTCCAATCTTGCCTAAAAGAATTTGAGGTGCCGCGTCTATTGATGCTTACCTTTCTTATAAAAATGCATCAGTTTAAACTAGAATTTTAGTTTACAGGGTAAACAAGTATCACTTATCTTTGGTAAATATATATAAATATTTGATGTTTAATTACTGATTCATTACGGGTTTTTTTCGTGTTGTTTTTATTTTTATAGGCAACAATTTTGGTAGAAGTTTTAGTGTACCCTTATCTTGGTAAGAGCCAAATCTATGGCAGTTCTGCACCCTTCAACATTCCTAACAGTGGGGTATTTACTGGTCTGAGCATTTTAGGACCAAGATATGAAAATTTAGACGTAAGTTTTCTTGTTTCATACTTTAGAGTAAGCTTTTTTTCTTGTAAAACAAAAAAAAATCTTTGTGAGAGAACTACTGAATTCCCATTAGTCTTAATGCAAATAAATTAGATATTATATAAAAAAAGATGTTACTTGAATAAATTAAAACAGCAATTGTACACACACACACACACACACACATATATATATATATACAATTAAAAGGAGTAGAACGTTAAAATAATGGTACAATAAATGATTTATTAAAAATATGGTCCAGTACTAAAAAGACTACAAGATATCACATGGTCGGTCAATTCCACCGAGCCCCTGTAGTGAGAGTTAATTAAAACATTGTCGGACTACATTACCAGGCGTACTATTCACCAGTTACTGTACAGCACTGTAGATGTTACACATTCCTCCATAATACTTGTTAAGATTGTTTGTTTAAAAAAAAGTCGTTTCATGACGAATAACGGGGACCATTTTTATATTAACATGTAAGTTTATGTTTTACTTAGTTATTTTATCCGAATGTTACGATAAGGAAAAAGAGCGAATGAAACAGGAAACACAACACTGCAGTGTGAAAACTAGTCGTCTTCGTCTACCTTTTCGGTTACCGACACCTATTATAATTGTTTGCAATTATTTGAGAGAGGTCTAAGACTGTTATCTACATGTAGTTGGAGTATTTTGCTACAGGAATATATATCTCACTACTAGTAGTAATGAATCACTGTTTAGAAAGGGCGAAATTGCTTTCGTTGGTTATTGAGGTAATCTTAAAATTTATTTGAATAAGCATAAGGCTATATAATGGGCTATCTGTGTGTGCCGTGCCCATCACTTGTGCCAAAAACCAGTTTTTAACGTTAATCGTCCCTAGACTTATCACTGTGCTACAAGGGGGAGGGGTACTAGTCTTAACATGTTCAGCTGCTACAAATTTCACGTATTATGGTGGTTAAAGATAATAAGAATGAGATGTGCAAAAGGTCAGAATATGGGAATAAATGTCAATAATTTCCGGGTAGCAAATATACCACGCTCACTTCTCCAGAAGATGAAAACTAGATGAAGAAATAAGTTTTGATAATTGCTTAAAGTGTTTGTTATTTCTAGAGTAGAAGGATTGAATTATTTAAAGTAAGCCAAATTACGATATTGGAACAGTTCGACAGATTAACATTTTAGAAGAGGATTCTATGCTTCTGAGAACGTGACAAGTACAAGTTTGTAAAGAAACATCACACTGAAATAACACATATGCTGAGTTGTATGATGTGCAGACAGTGATGGTTTACGAAACTTCCTTAATTATTTATATTTCTTCGTGTAACAATTTAAACATCCCATAATTCTTTAAGCCCTAATAAATATTTTAAGTTGATTCCTTGCCAAATTACTGCTAAAAGCTGGCTGTATAAAACTGTTGAAATGACCACCTAAACCAGGAAGTGTTATGTCAGTTCAGGTTAAATACTCGTTTCAGAATTTGATCGAAAATATTAAATGTTATCATCTATATTATATCTGTAACAAAGTGCTTTGAATTATCTAGCCAATTTTATCCATGCTTTCTTAATAAATACAAAAAATATTATTTACTGATTATTCAGTGACTTCCTAAACATCTTTGTTGTAAACAGAATGTGATTATTTACTAGCTTAAAAAAAAACGCCAGAGATAATAATAAAATTAACATCATATAGAGATTATAAGGTTCTGAAACTAACTGTAGTCTCTAAGACAGTTTTTATAAGAAACATAAGATGAACTAAGATCCTCAGATTATAGCTTTAGATTATAGTTCCTGAAATTCAACCTCGGGGATACACCTGTTTACATAATTAGAAAACGTAGTAGAATTCTACGTAGACTGATAATATCGAATATACGTTTATTGTAAAATAATTTAAGATATTTTCAATGAACGTTTACTTAAAAACTGGTAAGATATTACAATAAGAACAATGTTTGATACTCGTGGTCTTACGCGAACCTAATACCAATGGCCTTGCAGGATAAATGACATTGATGATATTGATCCTACTAGGCAGTCTGAAACTATCAACCTTATAAGACGACCGTCGCATATTATGAGTCTTGTTTGAAGTTAAGCACAAAGCTACACAATGGGCTATCTGTGCTCTGCCTACCACGGGTATCGAAACCCATTGTAAGTCCGCTGTGCCACTGAGGGGGGGGGGGGCATGAGTCTTATAAAACCGTTTCAAATTATTGGTATTATAGAAGAATCTGATGCTACTTATAATATTTGTCTTACAGGACAGTCTGATACTGCTGGTCTCAATAATGAGTATAATACTATTAGTCCGACAGGATTGGCTTGTTTTATCTATTTCACACATACAATCGATAATTCATACGTGGTTTCTAACTGTTCTAAAGTGCTTATAAACTCTGTTAAAAAACATTATATCGTATTAGTGTCATGAGTTGATTGTTATTGCTCTCTATATGGAGATTTGAGTACGTAAAATTAAACGATTTTGAATATACAAATCAGCAAGTTACGATTTAACCACAGTTGATATAAAGTCATGGTGAAATGGTAAGTTTCAGAACTACATCTTGGCATTGTTTGGTGGTGAGCAGGTAATGTGATACTACCGAAAATTGAGCGTTTTGGGGAAGGTTATGTAATGACCCTTTACAATGCAAAATTTTCGTACGAATTAGCACTGGAAAACAAAGGAATAAGGGTCAAGTTGGAACACCAGGACCATCCAAGAAGAGATCTGCACCGAATCATACAGCAGCCGTGGTAACCAACGTGCATCGTATCGTAACACGTGAGAATCTACAAACACAACGATCAGTAACAAACACCATCCACATTCCCCAGGCAACAGTGCACTGCATAATCAAGCAGGATATCCGTCTGTAAAAGCGAGGCATATAGGTTCAACTGTCGCATACCTCAAGCACCTAGAGAATAATACGGGTATTCATGCTATTCCATACAGACAAATTCCCCAGGCACAACAACTATAAATTTCTATTGAAAAAGGCATTGGAAAACCGGCGTACTCGTACGCTAGGCGGATTATAGAAACGAGCAGGAAAGAGTGGCATGCTTTTAACATCACAGTCTTACGATGGAGCCTTTTGAAATGGAAATTACACGTAGGCTGTAACGACGTGGTGTGGCTTTAAAATCGATTTACTATAACTCTGTATTAGCTAGATCGTAATTAAAGTTTAGAAAATTACAATGTTTGATATATGACACCGCAATTCTTGTTAATCAAAAGTACTCTTACCTTGCTTAACTTTAAATAAGTCTATACTCATATTTGGTGTAATAAAAACCGGTGTTTTATATTTGATTTATTGTATGTTTTACTTCTAAAAAAATAACGCGAATGTTTAATTATAGCAAGTTAGTAATATAATTTTGCACATTATAGAGTAATTTATTAGTGTAATAATATACAACACTATCGTTCATGCTGTTTAGAAAACATTCAAAAGAATCTCTTTCTTAATTTACTTGTTTGTTTTAAAATGAAAGCTATCTGTTATGTCCACCACGTTGAATCGAACCCCGCATTTTAGTGTTGTAAGTCCTTAGGATTACCTCTGTCCCACTGGGAAACGTTTGTTTGTTTGTTTGATATAGTGCAAATACATTTTGGGTTATTTTCTCTGTCCACCATGGGGAATCGAACCCTAGACTTTTATGTTGTAAGTCCGAAAACTTTCCGCTGACTCACAGAAGAACCATTCGAAAGAAGATAAATATGTATAAAACTATATGCTTTCAGAAATAATCAAAAATTCAAACCAGAATCCAAGGCTATTTCCCCAATCTTCCAAAAGTTATAACTAGGGCAATTTTCTATGTATATATATGTAGCCTAATCAAAAGTTTAAGTAAGAACTGTAATAAAAACATTAGATATATTAAGATAGTTATCCTAACATTTGGTGCTTGCACTGTTAAACAATGAGTTAATCGACGACACACGATACATATAGAATCATTGAAACATTTCAACAAATAGGAGAAAATAATAAAACAAAATATCACATATTATTTTTGTTTTACAAGAAGCGAATTGTGGAAAAAAGAATTTAACATAAAAGATTAATTATAGACTTCATTCAAATTTAACGAATTAGACGATTTTGTATTCACATAAGTAAACAATACCCTTGGATATAACTTCAAGTTGTAAGAATTGTACATTAATTCAACGTTGGACACATAAAGTATATATTTAAGGTTTTCATGAAAATAAATAGTTCAGTGTTAACCTTAAAGGTGAAGTAATTTAACCAACACTGTAGATTTTAAATTACTTGTAATACGTAATTTCGAATATTAGAGTCGTGACAGAATGTTTTATGTGATTGCTAAAAGATGGCGGTAGTTAATATCTTTTCACCATCGTCATTTCTAATTAAAGGAGAATATAGAATAACAACTTCATTGTATAATATCTTAAAATGTTTATAGACGACATAAGTACATGACTGATTTTATTTCACAAAATATAAATGAAAAACAAAGTTTATTTTGATTTTTACTGTGCAACAGAGGGTAAATTTATCATAATGTCCTATGCTTATGAATGATTCAGTAATTGTTCTTCATAAATATAATTGTGTTTATTATTCATTTAATGAATTAAAAATACTATATATTATTTAATAAAGATACTTTGTTTGGATGTACCACAGATGTTACAAACATTTGAAAGTTTCGTGTCTGGTTTCGACACAACTGACATCTCAGGAAATCGACAGTGGCGCCATGAGCGACGTAAGCCTGATGGACGAGTGATTGGGAATTACGGTATATTAGATCGTAACGGACAAGCTCACATTGTGGATTATATAGCAGATGAAAATGGATATCGTGCCATAGCGAGAGACAAAGATTTCATAGTTCAATCTAATCACCCCACTTTTGGTGACACTCATTTCCTTCCACTACCCCCAGATCCCAATGTTCAAGTCTCCAGACCATTTCCAGATCCTCCTTTACATCCTGGTCTTATCCCTTATGATGGTATTAACTTTCATCCAGATGTTGACATCACTCGAGGAAATGTTGATATTTATCCTAAACCTGGTCCATATCCACAAATTCCTTTCTTAGAACAAAATCCAGTGCTATTCCAACCAACAGGGGTCCATCAACTCTATAACCCATCTTTTCCACCGATAGATGATCGTAATTTAAAAGCAATAGGACAACCTCGGTCTTTCAATTCTACACTTTTTTTCACCAGCTGGCGGCGGTATATTAGAAAGAGTAGGACATTCTAGGTCACTCAGTGCGCCGTATGTTCTACCAATTGGTGGTGGATTGCTGGAAACAATAGGATATTTCAGAACCAATGATGTTCCTGTAAACCCGAATACTCGTAATATTCCACTAGAAGGCAGGCACATTGATCCAAGTAATTTACCGTCATTCAGTGAAACGACTCAACCTCGAACATTTCCAGAGCTTGGCCATTTTCTTATTAGCCGAAAAACAAACAACGCCAGGAATCAGTACCCAGAAAACAGTGGCATAGGCAGTGACAGGCAGGGCTACTACCCAGCAGATAGAGCAAATTATAACCTGATTTATGACAGAGTATATCAAAGTCCACTTGCCTATTTGTACCCATACCAGATTTGGTTAACCTGAGTGTCAAGTACTTACAGTAAAATATTTTATTAATATGTATGTCTATGAATAAATGAATAAAGTCTAGATATTTCATGAATCATATTGGAATTTTTTTATTTGTGAGTTTCGAAAAATTCTTATCATTACTTGCGCATTTTATGTTCAGCTGCTTAGACATACAAATAAGTATTTTAAAATGTCAATGAAATTGAATTGTTAACGAAAAGTTGAATGCATATTTCTCTATAGTTAAAAAACAACAGTTTATTTACGACTTTTGTTTTTTACAAGATAATAATAACAGGCTCAATTTCAATTATAATATTGCAACACTTCGCTTATAACAACTACTTTGAAACCAATAACAGCACCCAGTACTTAAAAGAAAGACCTCACAGAACAATAAAAGAGTAATAATGTTAATGTTGTGCTTTTGCGCAAAACTACACATGGGCTATCCGCGCTCTTTCCACCAAACAATAAATCATAAATCTTTATTAAACTCAGTAGCTTTTGTTTAACCGTTATTGTAGTGGGAGAAATTCAAACAGCTTATCCTCAGTAAAACCAACAACTTTTGTTTATCCTTTGTCATAGTGAGCGAAATCCAAACAAGTAATCTTCAGTAGACCCAGCAAACTTTGTTTATCGTTCGTTCTGTCTTAAGAAATCATAGTATTTTTATAACTACTGTTCTAATAACTTATATAAACTAATACAAAAAGGTTGACATCTGCTTTAGCTGTCCATGCAGACACACGTGTAGGTTAATAATACATGCGGATTAATTTATTTTGATAAACACCTCCAATCCGATTTGACAGGTAGAACCACATCAAATGTTACCACAAGTGCAGTTAACACCTTAGTGTTCTCCAGTCATTGTGTTGGGCAAAGTCAGTAGAATCTCTTGCATTAGAGCTCTGGGGACCACTCTCCGCAGCACAGCCTGAAAACTATAGCTTGATATTTGACAGCAATATTATTGTGGGATCACTAGCTACAACACAGCCTGAAAACTATGGCATGGTATTTAATAACAATGTTATAGTGGGACCACTATCTGCAGCACAGCCTGAAAACTATAGGTCGATATTTGATAACAATGTTATTGTGGGACCACTAGCTGCAACACAGCCTGAAAACTATAGCTTGATATTTGACAACAATGTTATTGTGGGACCACTAGCTGCAACACAGCCTGAAAACTAGGGCTTGGTATTTGATAACAATGTTATAGCACACCTCGCTGTACTTGTAACTGACCATACAAGTGTCACAGGTTATGTGCATCTATACTACATCCCTTTATCTGTGCTGACCTGAAGTGCTAATCATGACATATATCTACGAGTGGAATCTTCTGTTGCATGGCTCATCTTTGCTACAACAGACACGATTTCAACTCCCACATAATGTCCAGGATCAGGACATTCCACAAACAGACAGTTTCACACATGAGGTGAGATACTCCATTGGTATTTCCATGTTGTGAGCCCATGTCATATTCTTGTATTATCATCTTTTCTGGATTTTTAAAGTTCATTAATCATTGTACTGAAGCATGGTCCACCCAAACAGTAAGGAACTTCCTTCCCTAGCTGGTTATTCTAGCTGACGATGACCTAAAAGTCTTGTACAGATCACCCTATATGGTCTTTAATTTGTCAGATGCCATTCTATCCTGGCAATCGACAGTCGTCAATGATTATCTTGCATTGAGATTGATTTGCAGGGGTAACACCAAGTCTGCCATACTTTGTGCACTAGATACCAGTTGATCTTCCTTAGTCGAAGTCATGAATCTTTGCAACATTAGTGAAAGTTCAATATTCAAGAGAGGACGTCTCTCATACCAGAAATATTTCACACAACCATCTCTTATCAACATCTAGCTTTCCTTCTTGATTGCGAGCACTTCTACTTGCAGAAATGTCATTCCTTAAGTAAAGCTTGCTTCTTTCAACTCGATAACAAAATTTCAAGTAGGTTAATACATGCACTAGAAGAAAACACAAAACTCTGTTATATTATCATATGGTCATAGCACCAGATTTACTAGCCTGGCACGGCCTGATGAATAAGGTGCTTAACTCGCAATCTGAGGGTCGCGGATTCGAATCCCTGTCACCGAACACGTTCGCCTGTTCACTATTCGTTAGTTATCCTTCCTCTAGTTTATCACTGCTAACTTGGGGATGGCTAGCAAAGATAAAGAAAAACAACTCATTCCTACACACTCTGTGGTATTTTCAGGTAAACTAATTTCCCAGAAAAGTAAATTAGATAGGTTCACCATATAATGGGAGATATGGCAAGATATGTTGCAAGTAATATTGAAGTTCACTAAAACTAACTGAGTCTGTGCTAAGAACTACAGAGACTGGACACGAAGTGTGAAGCACAATACAAGTCAACGGCAGGTGTATAGCACTTTATTTATGATAGACAGTCACCTTAACTAAAGTTATGAATTGATAAAGCTCGTTATACTCCCCAAAATTGTATTTTTAAACTGAATTGCTCAAAGTTATATTCCAGTCTGCTTAAATCTAATTGATTTGGTAATGTCAGGTTTACCCAAAGCGACTTGTGCTACCATAGTCTTTCATATTCAAACATAAGGGAGGTTGTAGCCTCTAGATATCATCTGACCTACCATTGGAGGACACTGCTGTTAACATTCATGTACAAGGTGTAGCTTTACACCTGTATCTCCAATTTGCAGACCAGATGTTATCTAAAAGGAATGACAGAGAACTAAGACAGCTAGAATGAAATCAACTTAACAACTTTTTGACACCCGTTTGGTAAAAATTAAAACATATCTAGAATGATGACACCATTTGAAAAAATGTACATTAAGATTCAAAGGTTAATACATACAGTATGCCTCCATATTGCACTGGATCCCCAGTTCTTCTGAATGTGATTAAAGTTAATTCGAGTAAAATAAATAATGATAATAAATAATTGATGTTAAAATAGATAAATGATATTAATTTATCAATCCTTATTCAAATTTTTATTTGTAAATAATCTTATTAAACTGATAAAAATTAGACTTTCCCAACTTAATCTAATTCATACCATAAAAGTGTTACTTTTACAGTTTAATGATATGCATAGGGTCAAAGAGCATCTTTGTGTTCACGACTCAGACTAGAAAAGGAAACAAAAGCTCAGGTGTAATATCAGCTCACGTTGCATGTAATAAAACCCATCAATATGAGGACTCGAGATAATCTAGACTTGACTTCATATGCAAACATAGGTTTATATTTTGACACCAATATGATATATACAAGTCTCAGTAATATACTTTTATCTATACCATCTCATACTGAACTTTAAATACATTTTATTATTAAAGGCATAAGATGATTATATAATGTTGTAACATATTCTATTGTTAGGTGGGGTCTCTTAGATTATATGTTAAAAACATCCAACTTCAGTCCACGTAAAAATAACAAATTAATTTATTTCTTCAATAACGTTTGTTACAGTACAGGCTACGTTCACTTGTGGGCCTAACTTTACAAACAACATTTCGACTGAAATTTCGAGATTAATGGTTCTTACACCTACTTACTGATAAAATTATTTGCAGATATTTCTCGTCAATTGATAACAAACATGCTGACTGACTAAATTACTGATAGGCAGATGCACAACTCTCACTCTCTATCTCTCTACTAACAATGAACTGAATATCTCATTGATTCATTGCTTAACTGAATTATTCTAAATCTTTCACCAAATCTAGTATTTGTATAGTACTGTTATTTCTACATAATATAAAATGCTTCTAGGTCATGAAATAAGGACTAGCTTTCTCTAACAAACATCAAATTAAAACATTGAAAATATAACTTAGAACAATATAAACGGTAGGTGAAAATCAGAATAAGAAACCTAATGACCCATTCTCCCCTGAAATATATTCCGGTTACATATAAGCTGGTAAACAACATTGGAGACAAGAAACTCATCTTTAGATTGCAAACACGTTTCTGTAAGACAGTTGGCTTTATTACATTGTAACATTTGCCGTCATACGTACATAGGAGAAACTGGGAGAATCCTACGCACAAGGATAGGAGAACATATTGACCCTCTTTAGAAACAACAACATGAAAGAAGCGCATTTGTTGCAGGTCATTTTTAAACTAATCAAGTAAAAGTAACACCTGACTTGAAACCACCATTCTCTGTACAACTCCTCACCACAGCCACCAAGTACACTAACAGAAGCTCTTCTCATCGAACAGCTACGACCATAGATGAATAAAGATAAAGAATGACGCTTATAATTTTAATTATTTTATTTTATGACTTATCTTTTTGCTATTTCACTCTGTAACCTTGTTAGAACTTTTGTTTACTACAGTTAACAGTTAATTATTTCAACAATACTTTTTCTTTCGACAATAAGCTTTACTAGTTAATATGTCAAAAGCACACTGTAGAAAAGCACTTTATAGATTCGAATAGAATTTACTATTTAAACCATTTGAAGCTTTGTACTGTCAGTTTCGGTTTATGTTTTAGTGAACGTTCCTGAAGAAGCTGTAAAGCGAAACGTTGAGTGTCTAATTAAATAAAACAAAAATTTGATGTTATAAGGTCGTTTATTTCTAGTATGAATATGTTTTCCATACACCAAATTGCACTACAGAAATTAAATAGTCAGAATCTTATACTGTTGTCATTAGCCTATACGATCACCAAAATATAATTATTAATGAGTAACTCTCCATTGTTAATTAGCTCTAATTACTAAATAGTTTCTATCTTACATTGCGGATACTAATCTGCTGTGTCTCCAGGGAAGTCCTGAGAAGTCCTTATAGTGACCAGTATTCGATCCTTAGTCTTCTTGATGGAATTCTGACACTCCACTTGTTATTTTTGGTACTTATCTTCATGTTGGATGTAGATCGTGTTTATACAGAAGACTGCGAGTTCTATTATTGTGTATATTGTTAG